CCCTGCTCCGCAGGGATCGCCGACACAAAGAGCGTGACCGGGACCGGGGCAAGAAGGATCGGGACCGGGAGAAGGATGGGCACCGGCGGGACAAAGACAGGAAGAGGTCGAGGTGAGCCCTCTCTCTTTTCGGGGTGTCCCTGCTCTCCCGTAAGCACCCCAATGCTGTTCCCTGTAGGAAGCGTTGTTCTGGGTGAGAGTGGGATTCCCCTGGCCGGTGGGGACGAGGTGACCCTGGGGCTGCGTTCGGTGCCTGATTTCTTTTGTTTTGCTGGGAAGCGTGTCACCGAGCAGGGGCAAGGACTCTAAGTCCCGGAAGGAGCGGGACTCACGGAAAGCGGAGGAAGAGGAGGAGAATGCCCTGAAGAAGGAGAAGGTGAGGAGGGGGCTTCGCTGGGAATGACTCCTGAGGGGGATAGCTCTAGTGAGGCAAAGGGTCCTCGTTGGGGGCTGCTAATGGTCCGGCCCCACGTTCGCAGGCCCAGCCCCTGTCCTTGGAGGAACTGCTGGCTAAGAAGAAGGCTGAAGAGGAGGCAGAAGCCAAGGTAGGAGCAGAAGCCTTCTCCCTGCGTCGGGGCTCTCCCGTACTGCGTCTGTGGTACGGGATGGTTTGGGGCGGGGGGCCCTGTCCTGGGGCAGCCCCGGCAGTGAGGAGGTCTGTGCCAGGCCCGGTGTGAGCCTTTCTCTCTCCTGTCCCAGCCCAAGTTCCTGTCCAAGGCAGAGCGGGAGGCCGAGGCCTTGCGGCGGCGGCAGCAGGAGGTGGAGGAGCGGCAGCGGCTGCTGGAGGAGGAGAGGAAGAAGAGGAAGCAGTTCCAGGAGATGGGGAGGAAGATGCTGGGTAAGGTGGCGTCCCCACCGTGGTCTGCTTGGCTATGAGGGGCTGAGGCAGGACCCTCCGGAGCCCCCCAGCCCTGGGGGGGGGTGTGCTTGGCTCTGAGACCCTTCCCCTGCTCCCCAGAAGACCCCCAGGAGCGTGAGCGCAGGGAGCGCCGTGAGCGCATGGAGCGGGAGACCAATGGCACGGAGGACGAGGAGGGCAGGCAGAAGATCCGGGAGGAGAAGGACAAGAGCAAAGAGCTCCACGCCATCAAGGTAACGCTGGGGGCCAGGCTGGGGCGATGGTGGGGGAGCCGGGGGTCCCGGGTTCCTTCCCCGCTAATCCTCTGCTGCCTGCAGGAACGTTACCTGGGAGGAGTGAAGAAGCGGAGACGCACGCGGCACCTGAATGACCGCAAGTTCGTCTTCGAGTGGGATGCGTCGGAAGACACCTCCATTGACTACAACCCCCTGTGAGTGTTGGGGTGCCTCTGGGGCTGGGGGTGCTCCTGGGGGGGGGGGGCAGTCCCCAGCC